ACACTGTTGAATTGTTAAGCAAATATATTAATATCATTTATTTGTCTTTGACGATATTATTGAATTGTTAAGCAAGATATTATACCACTTATCTGTCTTTGAAGATATCGTTCACTGATTAAAATAACATTAATATGATATATTGAATAAGTAAATATAATATTAATAAAATATATTAAATAAGTAAATAAGCAAATATCTTTAAATCTTAAAAAACTTAATTTATGTTTGAAGATATTATTTAAAAACATATAATATCTTTGAAGATATTCAACTGGGAGCACTAGATCAATAGATTTCATATCATGAATTTTTAATAAAGTTTTCCAATTGAAAGAATAATTGATTGATCAATAAATTTTGCTTAATGAGTGGGTAACCACCTCAAGACTATTATAATAATAAGATAATATTTAACTTCTATAATTAAATTAAGGATATAATATTGATCAATAGATTTTGCTTAAAGAGTTGATAACCAACGCAAGATTTTTAAGTACACAAAAACAATCATAACATAAACCACGTGTACCAAATCAAAACATAAACTATTATAAACTAACATAGGCTACGTGTATCAAGTCGAAATCTATAAATTAGTTTATCGTGTATAAGTTAATTGTCTTTGTAAATTTTTTACATTACGTGTACCAAGAATAGGCGAGACTTCATTAATCGGAGATTCGCCGAAATATTTATCCCAGAGGGCATGAAATTTTTTGGGAATGTTTTCATACTTGAACAATAAGTAAAATGAACAAACATTATCTTACCATAATCTACTGGTATTTTTTCTTTTATTGGTGTCTCTATAATTTTTTCCCGAATTAAATTATAATTATTAAAATCTAATGGTTGATCAATATTACATTTTGATAATACATGATTAAATTGTTCATCAATAATTCTATTTGGATATTTATTTAATAATAATGCCATTCGTAATTTTTCACGTTCATTCAAATAAACTTGAAAGGTTGAACAGTATCTAATAGTACGAAGAAACACAGTAAAGATTATATTTTTCTTCATATGTAATGGATGTATACTATTGAACGGCAAGTAATATGGTTCATAAGACTGCTTTTGATAAACTGTCGTAAATAGCTGACCATCTTGATTTTCCATATGTAAATCAAGAAAATCAGCAGTTGAACCAATATTTTCTGATAATTTCATATTTTCATCAAAGTGATTCCATCTATCGATTTGTTTAAATAAATATCGAGCAGGCCAATTAATTACTATAAATATGTCATCAATATATCTACTTAGGGCGTACCAAAAGTTCGTGGCCCGATGTTTAAAATTTTAGAAAACAGTAAATATTGAATATTTTATTATGGGAATATATAGTATCACGTCTCGTCTTTAATAATCTATAGAGCTGCTCTATCTTGGATTTAGTTCTAACATTCTGCTAGATAAAAGATGCAGTGTTTACAGCCAAGAAAAGATCCTGACAATATAAAACCAGAATATGAAAAGAAAGAAATATTTGTAGTTTTATTTTATTAAATGCTCAAAATAATCACCATTATTTTCGATACAAAGTTCCATCCTTTCTAACAGTTTATGGAAAGTCTTTTCAAACTCTTTTATTGGAATATTCTTCACTATGGTGGAAACCTCGTGAGCCAGCGATTCTTCATTTGTGTGATCGCTCAACTTGCTCTTGATATAATCATTTAGCCAAAAGTCACACGGTGCAAGATCTGGTGAATGTGGTGGATGTGAAATTATTTCGATATCTTCCTTTTCTAGATAATTAACAATATCTTGATGAGTATGAGGACTACCATTATCATGAAGCAGTTTATATTTTGTGAGTGATAATTTTTCTTTTTTTTCTTATTTCATTGATAACAGGTATGAGATAGTTTTCAATATAGTAGTTGTGATCGATAGTCTTGCCTTTATCTACTTTATGTATAAGGACAGGACCAGTGGATTTAAAGAATAGACAGAAAAGTGTTTTAGGTTCATATCTATTCCGACGAACAATGGTCCTTGGTGGTTCATTTTCACCAACCCAGGTAGAATTGCTTGACTTTCGACCAATCTGTCTGTGATAAATCCACGTCTCATCACCGGTGATGATATCACATAATTGCCATGTTCCGTTCCTAAATTTCTCTAAATTTTGACGACAAATTCGAAGTCTTTTTTGTTTTTGTTCGTCAGTAAGTTGGTGAGCAACCCAACGTGACACAACTTTTCTCATCTTTAGATGATCATGGATAATTCGTTCTATTGTACCACGCGATAGATCAGTCTTAACAATAATATCTTCGTAAGTTGAGTGGGGATCATCTTCGATAACTTGTCGAACACATTCAATATTTTCAACTGTAAGAATTGAAATCGGACGGCCAGATCGAGGATCATCACTGACATCTTCTCTTCCTTCACGAAAACGTTTTGCCCAATTTTTAACCATTGAGTATGATGAAGCATCAGGTCCCAATGCTTCTGTAAGTTCGTCGAAGATTGTTTTTGGATTTATTCCCAAAATAACTCGAATTTTGATATAGTATCGATTAAATTCATCAGTCATGTTTGATAACTTGTTTTGCAATTGAAATCAAATTTTATCACAATCTGAAGTCGGGTGCGGTACAAATGAACTGACAGTGAACAACCTCTCATTTATATATACTATCGAAAGGTAATGTTCTAGATCATGACGTCATTAAATGTAACGGGGGAGAAAGTGACCAATGGGAAATATGAACAGTTCCAGAATATACCTTAACATTGGACAAGGAATAGTTAAATATTAACATACTCGCTAAATTATGAACTTAGTCTCGCAGAATGCCAGAACTAAATCCAAGATAGAGCAGCTCTATAGATTATTAAAGACGAGACGTGATACTATATATTTCCATAATAAAATATTCAATATTTACTGCTTTCTAAAATTTTAAACATCGGGCCACGAACTTTTGGTACGCCCTAAGTAAAATATAATTCACCACTATTATTAATTTGCTTTATAATTTGTTGTTCATAGAAGAACATATAACAATTAGCAACAGTTAATGTAAGAGGAGAACCCATTGCTCCTCCACGAATTTGATGATAATATTAATCATTATAAGAAAAATAATTATTTTGCATAACAAATCGACTTAATCTAATTATTGTTTCAATTTTGAGATCACCAACTTGTTTTAATTTTAAATGATCTAACATTTTCTTTAACGCCAGTACTCCTTCGGTTTGTGGCACCATTGTATAAAGGTCTGCTACAT